ACTGCGAAAATCGGCGCCGGCTATGACAGAAGAGTCGCCACCGTGCGTTATTTATTCCACAAGAGGGAAAAGAAACGCTCAGAGTAAACCTAACGCAAAGAGGGAAAGGAATGGTCATCGCAACCAAATCCTGGATTTGGGAGTCGGTTACGCAAGGGGAAGGTATTAGCACCCCTCACGTCCGTCGTACTCGACGGGATCCACGCTTGTTTTCTATTTAAGAGTGTGTTATTCTATCTACTCTACAGGTCTGGGTTAAAGAGAAAAGAAAATGACTCAGCAAAGTATCGCACTTTATGCCTACGTATTCCCGTCTGGAACGAGAAATCAGAATCAACGTAGTTCGCCTACCTACGGGAAAGGAGGGGAAGGTTGCTCGCCAAGATATCGCATCTTGTGCCTACGTACTTTCATACGGCATGAAAGATCAGAGCAAACGTAGTTCGGACTACGGAGGACACAAGCTTGTCTGACAGTTTTTATCTCCTTCTGAAAAGGGTTTTCCTAATTAAAGGTCCAAGAGGACAAAAGTAGAGTTTGAATGTTTGTTTGAGTTTTTTACGAAAGAAATGTTTTTTAGTCTGTTTGTAACTTGTACTGCACTAAAGACTTGTGATCTGAGAGTGACTACGTCGCATGTCACCCTAAGGGTACCATACTAAGTAGCCAGATTACTGAAGAGTGACCCTCCAGCAACCTTTTCTCAAATAGCTTAAGGCTAGTAACGTACAACACGCGTTATCCTTATTACTGTGTTTTTGAATTGTTTTGAGATGAGAAGAGAAAGACGCTCTAAAAAGCCTATGGTTGAAAGGGAAACTAGCCTAATATTATCATGCATGGGTCAAAACCTAATGTCTGTCATAATTTCCTCTTGCACAGAGGAAATCAGAGATCCTAGGGGATAAACAACAAAAGACAACAAGCAATTACAGTAAACAATAGAATGCATGCAATGCACCAGTACCAGAGAGGCAAGGGAGAAGACAACAGGCAAGAGGAGACAAGCTCCACCTCAAACCTAGAGGTAATCAACAAAAGCAAACAGACAAATCAGAGAAAAACAAAAGATACAGAGGAGACAGCCCAAGCAGTAGCAACAAACTCTTACAGTAAACAGCAACAACAGCTTTAAACAACAAAGTTGGATAGACAGCAAAGTTGACAGCAAAGGCTTCATCCTCAAGCAAGCTTCTATCTTCAAGCTTCATCAATCTTCAAGCTCCAACAAGCATACTCCAAGAGGAGGATTAAACATCAAGATCAAGTTATAATGTTAAGAAACTTAATGACAACCAAAGGAAATCACTAAGAACTCAACATTGCAAATGAAAGGTATCCTCAAAGTTCTACTCACTTGGGCATACCACTCATCCCTCCTAAGGAGAGATGGAGCTTCCCAAGAAGGACTTTATGTCATTGGATGGAATAGAGGCAAACAATGCACTCTATGTTTGAAGAAAGAATCAAAACTAATTCTAAGGCGCTTCCTAAAACCCTAATTCCCTAAGCTCCTAAAACAACCCCTAAAAGAAAAGGAAACTTCAACTCCAAGCCCCAATATTCAAGCCACAACAGCTACACCAAGTCTAGAAGACCTCCCAAAAAGGAATCCAAGCACTTCAAGCTCCAAGGTCACCAACCAAGCCAAACAAGCAAAGGCACTCAAGAGAGAACAACACAAACACAAGCAACTTGCAAAATTAAACAAAAATAGGAAACAGAGTTGTAAAATTCGAATTAAATTCCTAGGGGAACATACATGTTTGGAAAGACTAGGTTTAAAATATTAAAGCCTAATTAAACTTCTAAGTCACCTAAATAAATTCTAGATTGAAATGTATCAAGGTAATCCGTAAGTTTGGGAAGGCTCTAATCTCAACACCTAAAACAGAACCTAAAGATGTTTTAAAATTCTAATAAAAATCCTGAGGGAACATGAATATTTACCCTAAAATATATTAAAAAATCAAAGCCAAATTCATCACCAATTGGAAGGAAAAAATTATACAAAACAGATGGTCAAATAGGCAACACAGTGGATGTTAGCACAAAAGAAAAATCATAACTAATTCAAATTAAATCCTAAAAATGTAAAATCAACGCCTAAATTTTCTTAAGACATTCAGGAACTATAGAATAAAATTTCATAATTTTTTGATAATTTTTACTATTTTTAATGTAATTAAAGCAAACAGCTATCAAAACAGAAAAATAAAAAAATTAAATAGAAACTAGAAATGATGAATTAGTGAAAATGCAAAGCAGAAAAATGAAAATGCGCTGGGCAAGGATCGAACCCGCGCGCGCCTGGTCCCCTTGCTAGGCCAAAACGATGCCGTTTGGCGTGATGACACGTGGCGCGCGCATGTTCATCTTCTCCAATGGAATTTTTCAGCATGATGAATAGTAACCCGCAGCCATGGATGTGATGATTTCTGGCAACTTCGGACAACCATAACTCTCTCAATTCTTATCCGTTTTGCATGTTTTTTGGAGCGAAATCGAAGGATTTTTCGCAAGGATTCCAAATATCTCATCCAAAATTATTAATAATGCAAGATCAAAGAGAAACGAAGCAAACAAAGTTTGGCACCAAAACCTCAAGTTCATCAAAACCTCTCCAAATTAATTATAAACTCAATCTTATGTCATGGAGGTTAAAGATCAAGCAAAAACTAAGCCGAATCATGCCAAAACAGTCCATATAAGATCTCACAAGTTAGGAGCTCTAAATTTCGAACGTCATAAACATCAATAATTATAATCCAGAAACGATCTACATGCTTCAAGGAGTGCAAAGAAACGAAAATGGCAAAGAATCATCAAGTATTAAGAGAGATATGGTGAAATTCAAGTACCTAGTGGAGAACTTCCACTGAGCCTTTAATCCTTGATGAAGCTTCGCGAAACTCTCCAGAATCGTTCAATGATCTTCAATAAAGCTTTCTCAATTCACAATTTGGCCTGAAACAATCTAGATCTTGGAATTCAATTTTTGAATGTTCTTCACTTTTTCAAGCTTGTTCTTGATCAATTCTGCTCCAATTTCCAGAACTAATGATTTGTGAAGGTTAGAAATCTTATATACAATGGATATGGATCAAGAGAAAGCCCAATCTTTGCCTCTAGGCCCAAAATGAATTTTCAAAATTTCACCACTTTTTGCTCTTGAAGGTACACGAAAATGGCAATGCAATGGCTCCAATATGATTTAATTCAACTAATAATAGCATGTGGAGTGTGAATGACTGAGATTTGCTACTTGTATTTGATCCAATGACTATTTTTGATTATGTAACTTCATGGTGAAGTAATCTAAATGACAACTCCCAAAACTTGGCCTATGCTCAAAATTCTGCCAATGCCAATGTTCTTAGAATGTGATTTCCATTCAAAAAAATATACTCATATGCCATATTTTGGTCCTCTAACTCAAAAAGTCAATTTTCCCTCCTTAATCCATTTGAAAAATTCTCTTTTTTAGGCCATTTTAAGTGACTTTTTGCTACAAGCCAAATAAATTCCACATGACCACTTGGTTGCACTTAAAATCCCATTTTAAGAAACTTTCATGTTGAACAAAATTGCATTTGACAAGTGCAAGTTGGAGATTTTGGCCTATGATTGAAAATGACCTATAATCTCACTTTCCCAAAATACCCCTGACTTGTAAACCTGATAACTTGAGTTCTACAAATCAGATGGAAGACTTCTAGTACAATTTAGAAAGCTAAGATCATGAGGAACAACTTTCATGTTGGCCAAAAGTTCAGGTGAAACCTCTTTCTAGGTCAAAAGTTGCTTTGAAGTCAAGTGACTTTCACAGATAAATTTCACATTCATCTAGTGACCTGTAACTTATTTGAACCATAACTTGAGTTCTATAAATCCACTAGAGGACTTCTAGTACTCAAATTAAAGGTATTGAGATGCTCTACAAGTTCCATGTTGTCCAAAGATCCATTTGAAACTTGTATCTTGACTTATGTGGTCTTGAAGTTAGGCACTAAATAGAGGATTTTACACTGAAACCCTAACTTAGCAACTTCCCACACTCTTGATTTTTCTTGATTTGATCTTGGCACAACACCACAAATGTCTTATCACATCATTTCATGAACTCCATGACCTCAAAGTGGGCTTTGATACTCTTCAATCGCATAATCGACCTAGGGTTGATCCAGGTGAAACCCTAATTGTCTGCACTTCAATTGTGGCTCTTGCATTTGACACAATGGCTTGATTAAACTCTCCCAGGGCCCTCTAGGCATTCTATGAGCTCCATACACACCCTCTTCTCGCATTCAACATTTCACAACCCTCTGCTGGTCTTCAGTTGATCCTCAAGTTAGGAGAAGATTCCACATGGAGGCATTCAAACCTCTTAAGGCCTCAAATCACCTCCTGATGACTTGGATGACTTCTCAAGCTTGGTTAAGACCTCTTGCTAGGCTTCTCTTGACAAAAACACACTTGATCCCCTGTTGGATGAATGATGTTATGATATGCAAATGATAGGATAATGTTATGCTAAAGTAATGAAACATAAACCAGTTAAAGAAAAAGGTTGGGCAAATTTTGAGGTGCAACACATCCTAACCAAAAATATAAAACTATAAAAGAACTTCATTTAGATAGAAGAGAATCCTTATTTCATACAAACTCAGTCTAAAATGAATATGAGTCTTAATTAATAATTTTTTTAAACACAAAATAACTGTAGGGAATTTCGGACTTAAATATAAATAAAAATTAAAATATGTTTAGTAAAAATTTAATTCAAAATATTTTAATTTTAATTAATACAATGATTCAAAAGTCTCCCAAATAAGAGTAGAAAATGGAAGAAAGGATTGATGAGAAAGAAGATAAAAATACTTCACTAACAACAAGTACATCAAATCACAACAATAGCAACGTGCATCAAAATCAAATCAAACAAACCAACAAAATTTCCTTTCTATATCCCGAAGTCCCACTCCCATCCACCAAACCCCATGTTGGCATGTACTCTTTGCGCCTGCCACCACATGGCATTCTCCGCCACCTCCAACAATGCCGCAATCTTTCCGTTCCGTTTGGAATTTCGCCCGAAGCTCACTCCACGAACAACACACCTCGTCACCGCTCAACTTTCCAACTCCTTTTCCTTTCATTCCGCTTCCGATTCTCAGGTCAGCTTTCCCCTTCACACTTCCCTCTTTCCAATACTGCACTTCCGGTTTTTATCGTTATTTACTAAATCCCTATTTTCATCGCACAATTCAATGGGATTATTTTTTAATTTTGTGTTTTGTTTGTAGAACTTGAAGTCCATTGAATTACATGATGCATCAAGGTTACCTTGGATTGGTCCACTTCCAGGTGATATTGCTGAAGTGGAAGCATATTGTAGAATTTTTAGAAATTCTGAGAGCCTTCATTCTGCATTAATGGATGCTCTGTGTAACCCTTTCACCGGTGAATGTAGTGTTTCAGACGATGTTCCGTCCCATGAGAAGCCTCTCCTAGAAGATAAAATAGTTTCTGTACTTGGATGTATGATTGCGCTTGTCAAGGGTGGGAGAGAGGATGTTCTTTCTGGAAGATTTTCTGTTATGTCTCGCTTTCGTGCTTCTGAGGTTAGCAGCATCGTGGGGGAAACCCTTCCCCCACTCGCAAATTTCAGGGGCGAGATGAAAAGGTGTTGTGAGAGCTTGCATGTTGCTCTTGAGAATTATTTGGTTGCCGGTGATGATCGAAGTTTGGAGGTGTGGAGGAAACTTCAGAGATTGAAGAATGTATGCTATGATTCTGGTTTTTCTCGCGGAGAGGATTATCCGTGTCCTGCACTATTTGCTAACTGGTGTCCTGTATATTTGTCCAGTTCTGAAGAGGACTTGGAAGGGAAAGAATCTGAAGCTGATTTTTGGATAGGTAGCCAGGTAACAGAAGAAGGCCTTAAGTGGCTCCTGGATAGAGGATATAAAACTATTGTGGATCTCAGAGAGGAGACTGTAAAAGATACTTTTTACCAAGCTGCTGTGCATGATGCTGTTTCATCTGGAAGTATTGAATTGGTGAAAATCCCGGTTGCAGTTGGGACTGCGCCAAAAATGGAACAGGTTATGAGGTTTGCATCTCTTGTTTCTGATATTAGCAAACGGCCAATCTATCTGCACAGTAAAGAAGGAGTTCGGAGAACGTCTGCGATGGTTTCCAGATGGAGGGAGTACACGGCTCACTCTGCATCACAGTACGTTTCTAATCAAACAGTTATTTCAAATGATATGTTATCAGATTATACAATTGAAGCTGGGAAACTGCAGGACTCCAAGCCTGCTGATAGATCCTCCCTGGAAAAAGATACTGATTTGTTGCAAGAGGGTTTAGGTGCAATTCATAGTTCTGTTGACTCATTTGACCCGAGTATGTCTCCAAATAAGGTTAATGAAGAAACACAAACTAATGGGACCTTAGGTGGAAATTTTCCCAATGGTAGGACTTCATTACAAGCCATGACTGCCGACGGGGAAAGTTATTTTCCAACTCTCTCCAGCAAAGCTAACCCTTTGGAAGCTCAAGTTCCTCCTCATGATATTTTTTCCAAAAAAGAGATGTCCAGATTTTTGGAAAGTAAAAAGATTTCAAAACTCACTTCTTCCATTAATCAAGTCAAAAGGCTGGAATGCTTGCCAGATTCAAGGAGCATGCATAATAGAAGACTGCAGGGGCAAGTGATTATCAACAGTGGTCATAATCCTGAACCTAAAACTGTGGGTCCAGCAGGAAGTTCCAATGGGCCAGCTCAGATTGCAGCTGGTAACAAGTTGAAGTTAGTGAATATGAATACATCCAGTTCTGTTAGGACAACAGTAAATGCTTTTAGTGAAAGAGAAATGTATTGCATGCCTGATGCCAACGATATTGATGATACAACTAACTCTAAAACGATTTTAGCCGATGAGGATAAGGCGGGGGAAGGCTCTGGGTTCACTGAAGGAGACATGTGTGCATCTTCAACAGGAGTTGTAAGGCTGCAATCAAGAAAAAAAGCAGAGATGTTCCTAGTGCGAACAGATGGATTTTCTTGTGTGAGAGAGAAGGTGACCGAATCTTCTTTGGCCTTCACGCATCCTAGCATTCAGCAACAAATGCTAATGTGGAAATCTACCCCAAAGACTGTTCTATTGTTGAAAAAGCCTGGGAAGCATCTCATGGAAGAAGCTAAAGAGGTAATATTTTTAAGACACCTATAAGCACCCAAGTTATTAAAAGTTTCTAACATTAATCTTTAGGAAAAAAATTATATTTTAGTACACATGATGTGATATGTTCTGTTGTGGTGGTGAGGGGAGAGGCATTTGAGGTCAGCTCAGGGTGGGATATGTTCTGTTGTGGTGGTGAGGAGAGGCATTGGGGTCAGGCTCAGGGTGGGTGCTAATTATTCTATAAAGTCGCTGAATAGAACAATTGGAAATGGATTTAACATCAAATTCGTGAGCTTTGGCGCTATCCATATAGTTCTGTTTCAGCTTTTGTAGTTATATTTATATTGTATATTTGTTGCTCCATTTAGATGAAGAACTATATAGCTGTAGGGTGAGCCTCATTTACGCCCAAGCTCGTTTATATGGGCTTGGTACAGTAGATGTGGGAAGGTTAAATAAATTGTAGTTCGAGTGATCCAAGCTTGCACTGGCTGTTGTTTTGCTCCACTTAGCGTAATTGCACTTCTTCATGTAGAAATATTAAATTTGTTGAACGTTTTGCTTTGCTCATCTTAGCGTTTTTGCACTTCTTCATGTAGAAATATTAAATTTGTTGGACTGAGCTCTAATTACACTAGTGATTTTAAATTTCATATCATTTTTTAGTTTAATGATTAAATATCTGGTTCATACTTTATTTTTTTTTATTTTAGAAAACTTTCTGATTAAAATATTTTAAATAGAACTTTTTATTTGACTGAAAATATGTTAGGGAATGTGAGAACTCAGAAATGTAATTCTGAACTATAACTGGTATTCAAACAGCACTTTAGGTACTTTTGTAGTTCTTACTGAAAATGAGAATTTATTCAGAATTTTGCAATTAATTTGGCTAAGTTCATTTTCAGCATAGTTTCTTTATCTACTATATGTAATATATGCAGGTTGCTTCTTTTTTATATTACCAAGAGAAAATGAACGTATTCGTGGAACCAGATGTGCATGATATATTTGCTAGAATTACAGGATTTGGATTCGTTCAGACCTTCTATATACAAGATACTTGGTATTGGAGTTTATGAATTATGTGCAATGATTCACTTTCCCCCCTTTATATAGAACCTTTGCTTCATTAAATGATTGTGTTACTCATATAATGCCTTTGATTCAGTGATCTACACGAGAAAGTAGATTTTGTGGCATGTTTGGGGGGAGATGGCGTTATATTGCATGCTTCAAATCTATTTAGAGGCGCTGTTCCCCCTGTTGTGTCATTTAACCTTGGTTCTCTTGGTTTTCTGACTTCTCATAGTGTATGTTTTTCAAACCCATAATTTTTTTTTCACTATATAGAAATGCAGGTATATATTTGTCATTTGTTTGACTTCAATTCTGTTTTCTATTTTCAGTTTGAAGACTACAAGCAGGACCTAAGACAAATCATCCATGGAAATAATAAACGAGATGGTGTATACATCACTCTCAGAATGCGTCTCCGATGTGAAATTTTCCGTAAGGGCAAAGCTATGCCAGGGAAAGTATTTGATATTCTAAATGAAGTTGTTGTTGATCGGGGTTCTAACCCGTACCTTTCAAAGATTGAATGCTATGAACATGATAGGCTTATAACAAAAGTGAGCTTGACTATATATTTGTTGTCTTCACAACAAATTTGTATACATCTGTATTCTATGGAGAGCCGTCACCATTCTAAATTTAAACACCTTTTTGAAGTAGTGTTGTGTCTTATATACTATGGTTATGTCTTTCAGGTACAAGGTGATGGAGTGATCATAGCCACCCCCACCGGAAGCACTGCTTATTCTACAGCTGCTGGAGGTTCCATGGTAAGCTTGTCCCAGAGTTGTATTTGTCCGAGCCTGGTTTTAGCCTATACTGGTTATTGAATTAGATAGATGGATAGGCTATTTGGCTTATATGTGCCTTGGAATACTTTGATAAACAATGATTATAAGGTTTAGCTATTATGGTTTATCCAAGCCTTCCTCACCTGCACTTTCTGAAAGAGCCGTTGAACATTTTCCTATACTCATTCTGCATTGCAATACACGTGGCAGCTAAAGATAACTTGATAAGATTCTTTATTTTGTTCTGAAGAGGCTTAAACTAGCAATTTGATCAAAGTTGTAGACTAGCCAGCAATCATTTTTCTACTACTTTGCAAATGTCAGTGGTCAGCAATGCTGAATGAGTTCCAGATAACTGGCCCTGAACATAGTTCTCCACCACCCTCTTTTTTGTTTGCCCATTTTGTGAAATTAAGAACCTAAAGTACTCTTTTCCTTCTTTTCTTTCTTCCCCTAAAAGAGATTTCATATAACCCATACTCACATTGTGTTATCCCTTAAAAAAATTAAGTTTTTCTTCGTTTTATTCTAACCGTTAGAATCAAACCCATATATTTATTATTAGGATTAGAATTAGCAACTAATATCAAATATCAATTAATATTTTTTGTATTTATTCTATATGCTATTATAAATAGAGGTGAGTGTAGTCTGATTTAGACGTAGAAAAACAAATTCAACACTAACACCCTTTCTATCACGTGAAAAGTGACACAACAAACATCTGTAGAATAATCAGTCACTCAGAATATGTCATAATACAAACTCTTATTCCACTTATTGATTACCGAACAAGCCAGCTTTCGAGGAATTTCCGTGCAAACTACAAAGTTGTAGAAACTTTGTACAAGTCACCTTGCATAATTATTATTAATTTCTTTATTATGACTTCTTAAGTTATACGATATATACATCTTCCAATGTCATGATATATGCACAGTATCAGCGTTGAGTCACCCCAAATTAATCAGTCCTTTCATTTGATGTTTTCTTTCTAATGGCAAATGGAAATTGCAGGTCCATCCAAATGTTCCGTGCATGCTGTTTACCCCAATCTGTCCACATTCACTTTCATTTCGACCCGTTATACTTCCAGATTCTGCTCAACTTGAGTTAAAGGTGAAGTTATCATTCTTTATGCAGTAAACATATCATGCTATTATGCATCTTCTATGCCACCAAATGTTTCCATTCTTTAGCTATATTTTGTTGTCGCTCAAACATGCATTGGAAAAGGCTAGATGGTTAATATCACAGTTATAAAAACCACTCAATTTAGGGAGTCATTTGTTTCATATGATTTGGAATTTAGAGGTTAAATAATGATTTAATGATTTTGGGTTTTATAATTATGATATCCATATTGAGTAATGTACGATTTATTGTTTGCAGATTCCAGAGGATGCTAGAAGCAATGCCTGGGTTTCATTTGACGGGAAAAAAAGGCAGCAGCTTTCAAGAGGAGATTCTGTACGAATATCTATGAGTCAGCATCCTCTTCCAACAGTTAACAAGTTTGACCAAACAGGTGATTGGTTTCATAGCTTGATTCGCTGCCTAAATTGGAATGAAAGACTTGACCAAAAGGCCCTATAGCGCATGCGAGGATGACAATCAGATATGCATTATTCTCTTGTATAGACTTAATTGTGTAATTATGGTACAGATTATAGTTATACATTAAGATAGCAGAACTTCAATATAGTATACTACTGGTTACTACAAATTTCTCACACTGGCTACAATATAGGGTTTGCTAATGTTTTCTCCACATTATTCTAGCAGGATTCAGTTGTACACTAACATTGAAAGCTATAGATAGTTGATCTTAAAAGCAGAGCTCATTGGCTTATCTCAAAGTTTATTAGTCTGTCAGACTGCAAACTTCCTTATCTCATATACTAGAAAGTAGTTATAGTCTTTTCTCTCTATTTCAGTGATGTAATAACTATGCACCGGTAATGCAAAAGAAGTAATATGTGTGTCCAAATCATATTTGACCGCTGTGTTGTATCTATTGCTAGATGGATCAATTTTTGCCATAATGTTCAAAACAAAATCATTCCCGACTTCACTGGGGATCGAACCCAGAATCTCTGGTTCCGTAGACCAGCGCCTTATCCATTGGGCCATGAAGTCATGTTGTACTGTATCAATGTAGTGAGATATAATTGGATGTCGGTAAAACTCTTATGTTCTCAGTGCCTAGTAATTCACTTTAAAAGAGAAAGGTAAAATATCTCAACTATTAATGAGAGGAACAATAATTAGATTTTAATAAATCTATCATCTATTGTTTTTTACATGTAGCATTAACCTTTTTTTGTGTGTCAATAAGTGATTTGAAGGAGCCAAATTTTCATTTTCATGCAACATTGTGTCCTGGTTTGAAGAAAGTCCACCTTACCGATTGTGTCCTGGACTTGAACCTTAAAACTGCTATCTAAATTTCTCATCTTTTCCAAGAATTTATTAGTGCATCATTCTTGCAAGGATTTTAAGATTTAGTATTTGGCCATTTGAAGACATCTGTATTTTCTAGAATGCATAAGAGAGTGCCCCAGAAACTGTACAAAATGCTTTAAATTGATTAAATCTACCGTAATGGGCAGCATAGTGCACTGGACTGCCAATTAAGTGGGGTCTACGGCACGGTGGGTACTGCAAATTTATCATCTATGCAACTTTGCCCATGCAAGCAGAGAGGCAGTTTCAGGATTGGAACCCATGACTTCTGAATGACAAGGGGGCAACTTTACAGATGTGTCAACTGTCAAGGTTCGTCCTCTAGTAAATCTACTATAACACTCTTAAAAAAATACTGACATATTAGTGTGCAGCAGTACCAATGCGGTATTAAAGACTATTCCCTCCGTTTTTGAATATTAGTAAAAAATATCATGTTAGATGGTATAAAATATGAGCAAATATGAACTAAATATACCATATTTAATGATATCATTTCTGAATTACCCCTTGTGTAATTTGAATTTACTTTTTAATAATTCTCTTATAACTGATATAATCAGTTCTGCCCTTTCCTCTTATACACATTTCGTATAAGAGGTCAACACATTGCTGATAATCAGTTATAGTTTCTCGTCTAAAAACTTCTAGTACTTGAAAACATAGGTCTTCGCATTCCATGATTAAAGAGATAGATGCATTTATTCTACTTCATGTGAACACAAAAAGATAACTTTAGAGTAGAATTTATATAACAGTAGTATTATACAAAGCAAGCCCAGGTGAATGCATACAGTCTCCACCATGACAGTTAAAGATAAAGCCAAACATTCTAGAAAATGAAAATACTAATACCCACAGCGGTTCCCATTATAGACAGAATGGCAACCATGTGACATTCTTTGCTATTGTCAACCATGTCTTATAAAACAAAGACCCGTAAATAAAATAAAGATAAAAGACTATTTTTGTTTTTCCATATTTCTATATGAAAGCAAGTGTTTTTTTCTTCTTCTTTCAAATGGCTTTAACAGCTCTAAACCTTGGTTCCTTGGGGAGGAACTTCTGCTCAGCATAGATAGACATGTAGTCACCGAAAACAAATTTAGGATAAGTATCCTCGACTTGGTTTTCTTTTTCAGCCAATTGTGGTGCAGGGCTTATGGTGGCTTTGAGTGGCGGGTTATAGAACGATGCAATTGACCTCCTGTTCCCATCTGTAGCGCTCAGAACCCTATGCCAACAACTTTTGTATCTGCCATTGCTCAGCACCTCAATTTGATCACCAGTGTTGATCACAATGGCATTTGGCAAAGGTTGGACATCAAGCCATTCCCCATCTTTGAGCATTTGAAGGCCTCCCGCCTTATCATCTTGGAACAGTAGGATCACACCTCCTGCATCAGTGTGAGCTCGTAGTCCGTTCACGAGTTCCGGATAGGGACAGGGTGGGTAGTGGCTGACCTTAGTGCCAAAGAAAGCACTGTCTCCTTCTCCACCATTCAGTGCTTTCTTAATGTATCCTTTTGGTAAGCCCAGATTCTCATCCATAACTTCCGTGAGTTTCTCCGCCAGTTTCTTTAACTCAGACCGATATTCTGACATGGTTTCCCTGTCATTTATATGAGAACTCAGTTATACCTCTTATGCCAAGTCACGTTATCGCTTAGTATGTTTTGAAGTGATGTCTTTAAATATATACTAGTTTCAACTCTTCAAAATTTTCGAATTTTAGATTTTATTGCGAAATCACTTATTGTAGTAAACAAGAGTAACAAAGCTTAATCTTTTACCTGAAACTTGGTGTATTTTCTGGCCACTCATTATCATCAAGGAGAGTGATAACATCCTCCCAGTCCACATTCTCCAATTTTTCACTGCTTTTCTTTTCAGCTATATCATGCAGAAGCGTAACTGTTGCAGAGTTCTTAAAATTCTCCTCTCTTTCCAGCTTATAGAACTCAGAGGTAACCTTCTTCACCCTTTCAAGAAGTTCCTCAGAAATGCCATGATTGATCAACTGGAAAGCAAACTATAACCATTAACACACATATACAGTATACATAACACCAAAAAAATAAACTCACAAAGAAAGAAGCTAAATCCATTATATTAGGTGCAATGGTTAAAGTACCTGGAAGAATCCCCATTCTTCACAGCCATTAGCAATCAGTGCCATAGTTTTGGCCCTTCCTTCACCATTCAGCTTTGAGAAATCAATGACTGGAACTGCCATTGGATCAGAAAAGTTATGATATAAGAAAAGGAGTGTATATAAGTGTGTGAATATGAAAGGTTGTTTGAGATTTGTGTTTGGTGTGATTTGTTAGAGGTGTAGGTTTGGGTATTTATAAGAAAACATATCCTACCATATTGGATGTCAACCAATAAATAGTTATAATAAGTTACCTTTTAAAGAAAGCAGCCGTTAGAGTTAGGTAACGGACGGTAACAGATTTGGTTAATTAAATTAAATTATCCAATGTCAATGCTTGTTTTTGAGAGTAACTGCTTGTTTGTAGCATACATGTCCACAACACAAAACCTCACTTTTCAGGAGAGGTTACATCTCAGTAGTTTTCCCACCATTAATTAATCATACACACACACACAAGTTGCTTTGCTTCTCTCTTACATACTTATATTATTAGAAATTACTAACAGATCTTGAATCAGTCCCTGTCAACCACTGCCCTTGAATTCATTTTGTTTTTGAGACTATCTTTGGAATATCTTGAAATGAAAGGAGCGGAATGGAATGGAATGAAAAATTTCTTCTTATTATTTGAAAATTTTATAACGGAGTAGAACACTTATTCTATCTCAAAGAAAAGCAGTGATACGTTGTTTATTCGAGAGTGTCAATGAGCTAAACGTAGAGGATCCAAGAGACCTTGATAGTTGACATCACATATCCACCCTACTTTAAGGCATATAATTTCTAGTTGATGTGAGACATAACTACCAACACATTTTTGCTTCTCCACCGAGACTAACCATGACTTTGATATAACTTGTTTAAGAATCTGGAGAGCACCGAAGGTGTCAATGGACTAAACTTTCAAGTTCCAAAAAACTTTGACACTACATATTCACCAAAAACCTCAAGGTATCAGGTATAAGGATCATATTTTTTTATAAATTCAACATTTCCACCATTTTTATTCGACGTTAGACTTAATTACTAACATTTGAATTCAATAATCTCCCCTACAAGTGTGAGTCACCTACATCACTAACTTTAATTGAGTCTCCTACCGAGCTTAATCATGTCTCTGATATCACTTGTTCGGAAGTTTGGCGAACGCCGAGAATGTCAATGGGTTAAACGTCCACATATCTATTCAAAACCTTAAAGACATCATACATATAAATTATTTCTCTTATATATTTAACATTTCATTCATTTTTAATTGATATGAGACTTGAATTCAATATGGCTAGTTTACTTTTTCTATTGGTATTGTTTCAATTCACATAAAGTATTATGAAGGAAATGCAACATTGCTATCAAATTACTATCTATTTTCCTTCTTTGTTTAAGCAAATCACTATTTTTCTTAATGATACTATTATTAGTTAAAGTATCATTTTGTACAGTTTGAAAATGATAATTTAGCGTATAGTTAAAATCTCTGCCGACTATTATCTAATCATAAGTTGACTGTCCTACATTGCTTTGTAACCACTATAAAAACTTTCACACATGACATGCTCTTTCTTTAAACTCACAATTTCCAATACTTTATACCGTTAATACACAGATTTCTACCCATAGTTATAGGGTCAAAGTTTCAATATTATAACACAATAATTACCTCTAATTTAATACTAACATTGTCAACTTCTCATTTGACATTCTAATATTTTTAATTAATTTCTTATTTCTATGCATAAGTAACATGGCAACATTTTTATTAACTAGCATTATTGCTTAATGAATAATAATTAAATGAATTATTGACTTCTGATTTGATTCCAAATGTCTGAATGTTAGGACACATTACTAAGAAAACATATGATTAAGGACTTGAGTTTTACAATCTTAACTCATAAGTTGCTGTACTTTTAGTACTTGAATTCAAATATATGTCTAAATATCAAGAATTGGTTGAGATTGAGATTTCACTACTGGCATGGTTTTTGTACATAGAACATATGGGGCCATTCTTAAGGCCGTATCGCATGTATTATAGCACAGTCCATACATAGCATTACTGTATGAAGACAAATGACATTTTTAGTGCCAGCTTTGAAGTTATGATCCCAAACTTCAATCATTCAAGTTATTTAATGTGAAATTCAGTTGGATTTCTTTTTTATCTCTTTATTTAAAAATATATGGAGATGATATAATGGAAATCATAACCTAATTTTGCATTCAAGGTGAATACGGATGAATCCATGATGATTCATTTCAAAAAAATAAATCCTATATGGAGATGGAGATATTCCATATTGTCGTAATTTTGCAACATCCGATGATACTGTGGAGATATTTCGGAATTTTTCAATTAGGGATCACCATGTTGAATAGGATGCCCCTTTTGAGAATAATAGTTTTTCGACTCATTTTATATTGATAAGAATAATCGAAAACTTAATTAGGTTGTTAAATATGATATTGACATCGTTACACATTGAGCTACTCTACGGGGGACAACATGGACATGAAGTCTCCTTTTAGTCTTTTTGTATTCAAGAAGGGGATTGCTTATCGTACCCTAAGCATTACTTTTCTATCATAGTGAAAAGCTAAAACTACTCATAGAATTCAGAAATAGATCTTCGGACACATCTCAATGACATTTGTTTTTGAGCCAGACCCTATGCCTATATTAAAAAAAAATACAGAAATGCATTTTTGTGTATCTTACGAAGATGCATCATCGGACACTATTTTAATCAAATATGCGTCAGTCTCTTCCCCTTCCTCACTTCTCAAAACTCTTAGACTCTCCAAACTCTTAAAACCTCTCAACTATATCAAACTCTCTCAACTCACAATCTTTCAAATTCATTCAACACACTTCTAAGTTTCTACCGTCAACATCCAATCGATCAAAGAGCTCAACATCAAACTCACATTTGATAAAATTTGTGATTTCTCTATACTTTTTTTTATTCAATATACATCTTGTAGAAATTGAGCATTAGGTTGTATTATAGGTAGTTTGATCACGTCCATTTTTGTGGACATGAGTGTTACTTATGTGAATGTGGTTTACGTGAGATATTTTGCTGACTTGAAGCAGATCCATGAGTAAAATTGGAGAGCCGCTTGTTTGGTCTACCTATACTCAAAGTTAGCTGAAGATTTTATGTGAAAGATCAAACAAATGACAAGCATCTGCGCACTGTTGAGGATAATATACTTGAGTAACAAGTCATTGATCCAAGTTGTTATTGAGTAATTAGTGATGTTATTAATTTAGAATTATAGGTTGATAACAGTTTGTTAGAAGCCTATATGAAAATATATACTATGATGTAATTAATCTATCATTTCAATGCAAATCATTTTGTTTTACTATCTCTCAATCTTTTACTTCTTCGTCATGTTTTCTTCCAATTTTAGTACCTGATCAGAAGGAGTCACTGGCCGGCCACGTGTCTGAGCTGTCTGACTGCTAGGAGAATGGAGGGGAGTCAGTCTGCCCGTCTCTCACGTCACCGTCATGGATGTGGGAGGGCCCACCCTGATCCTCACCGTTGGTGAGTGGGTCGAAGGCGGAATTATGGATAACATCGTCGTGGCGTGGGCTGGTCATGATATCGAAAGTTGATGAAAGCTTTGGTTCTACTGCTCGGATAGAACGGAAAAACTCTATTTTTCACAGACGACGTCACTGATCGTACTTGATCAGAAGGAGTCCCTGGCCTGCCACGCGTCTGAGTTGTCTGACTGCTGGGAGAATGGAGGGGGGTGTGCTTAAAAAACACTCCGATGCCAAAGTAAGAGTTGGGCAGAGTGATAACAAGTACAGAGAGAGAAGTAAGAATGAGATTACCTGACCATCTAGTGAAATAGGATATTTATAGTGTGCCCCAGCGTAGGGTCAACGATTACTTCGCGTTGAGCTGGGCTGCCAGGCCCAATACTGGTAACTGATAGGGCTGACGTGGCGTCAGGAAGACCAGCACATGGTCTTCGCCCTAGTGTAACTGCTCTGCGCTATCCGGGAGGTGGAAGACCGAATAATCAGGACACGGGAAGTTACCAGATGACGTGTCTCCGCGTAGGGGACACGTTGAGAATGTGGGGGAGGTCAGAGGAGCTCCCCGAGCTGGATGGGGTATGCCCGACAGCAGGACAGAGGGGAGAGCGCGTCGGACAGATGTGAGGAGCTTGATCGACTGACAAGGGTCCTTGCCCGACGGGGGAAGAGGTTCAGTCCGGCGGGAGGAAGGTCTCTGGCCGACGAGGAGGCGACTTAGGTCTTATTGGACCTTCCAACCCGATGGGGGTTGGGCTTGCTCGACTATGGGCCAAGTGTCGGCCCAGTCTAGAACAATATGCAACTTGCAAATGTTCATCACGGTTCGCAACAATGGTAATGTTGTGATTCCTCATGGGAATCCTATTCTAGATCCCTATCAAATTCCCAAAAATGCATACAATGTTCATTCCTCCTAGCTATTAAACCAATTTTGAATAATTCAAATTATCATGCTTATGCTCGATCCATGAGGCGAGCTCTTGGTAGCAAGAACAAATTCGAGTTTGTTGATGGAACAATAACAATCCCCCCTGAATTCGATCCAAACTTCAGAGCATGGAGTTGTTGCAATATGTTTTTTCATTCTTGGATCATGAATTTGCTTGAATATTCGATTGCTCAAAGTATATTGTTCCTTGATAATTCTATTGATGTATGGCTCAAACTCAAAGAACAATTCTTTCAAGGTGATTATATTAGGATCTCTGAGCTTCAATGTGAAAATTTCAATTTGAAACAAGAATCAAGATTTTTTTCTGAGTTTTTTTTACAGCTCTCAAGACTTTATGAGAAGAACTTGAAGCTTACATACCCACACCCGTTTGTGCCTGTCCGCACCGCTGTGTCTGTGCTACTGGTGTCAGAAATGCTAGACATCATCATGATATCACACGTTCCATTCGGTTCTTGAGAGGTCTCAGTGGCCAGTTTGATATGGTACGAGTTCAGATTCTATTGATGAATTCTCCACCACCTATTAATCATATATTTTCTATGGTGCTTCAACAAGAAATAC